ATGTGGAGGAAGAAGCACTCAGGTAGGGAGGGAGTGGGGGATCCTGTCCACTGGGGCTTTCAAGTCCCAGGGAGAACTTGCCCCACCTGGTAAATGGGAAGCACAAGCCACACACCTGTGCTACCCAAAGGGGTTTGGTCCAGTTCCCCCTCTCCCTCCTGCATAATGTCCTCTCTTTATTTTCCTAGTCCTGACCTGGGGCTTTAGTCACACTTCTGGAAACTTCCCTCTACTCCAGAATTAGAAAATATCCTTAGGATGTCTGACCTGATTCCTCCCTGGTCTCACATGATGTCTCTTCCCACAGGGGGACAGAGAGGAAACTACACTCTGCCTGTGGGTAAGTGTGCATCAGGGGGATGTGTAGATAGAGCCCCTGGGACAGTGTAGATGGAGCCCCTGGGACAGTGTAGATGGAGCCCCTGGGACAGTGTAGATGGAGCCCCTGGGACAGTGTAGATGGAGCCCCTGCGGGTGTCACCCCATCAGTCCCTCCTGTGGTCTCCTCTCTCGTGGCTCTGACCAGGTCTGTGTTGTTCTCCCCCAGGCAGCGACAGTGCCCAGGACCCTGATGTGTCTCTCAGCCCCTAAAGGTGAGACCCTGAGGCCTGCGTGGAAGGGGCTGGGGCAGAGAGCAGGGGCCAGGTTATGGGGAGCTGTGAGGGGAATAGTATGAGGATGGGTGGGCTGTTGACAACACTGACACTTAGTGATTCACGTGAATTTGTTCCTGACCAGTTTCCTTTAGAGTGAGACAGCTGCCTGTTGGGAATGTTGTAAAAAGTTAGTTCCCACTAGACAGCTCCCACCCTCCAGAGCCATTGTTCCTGGAAGGTGCTGGCCTGGTGGGTTCCCAGAGATAAGCCTAGAGTCCTGCCTGATCAAGATAAGGTCCCAGCGTCTGTCTGTCTGTCTGTCTGTCTGTCTGTCTGTCTGTCTGTCTGCTGTGTCCCTAACATCTGGATAAACAGGAATTTGAGGGCACCCACCACTAATGGACCGATGTACCCAGTGGAAAATCCCCAGCCCTACTAACTGCCCTTATAAACCCCACTCTGTAGATCTACAAGATCCTTCCTTGAGGGGTGCGCCTGCTGTGACAGGGCACAGAAAGGAAGGATCCTGGCTGGAGCTGGCCTAATAAAGTCTCCTTTCTTTTTGCATCGGACATGGGCCTCGGTGGTTATTGAACGGGGCAATATTTTACACTCTAACAGTTGGGGGCTCATCAGCCCACC